AACAATAATGTACCCAAACAATAAAATAAATTCCTTTTATATTTCCCTGCCTTGTTGTTTATGTGTACATACAGAGGAAGAATGTGAGAACAGCACACATTTCATCGTTACTGTGTGCTGTACCGCAGTTCTGTGTCCATGCATGCAGCAAACTGAAAGCACTGTCTGTCGGAGCGTCTACGTGAAAAGAGAAGGAAGACATTGCTGGTAGTATTGTCTTCAGAGTTGTTAAACACCTCAGCGCACTGAAGGAAGCCATCTGACTGTGTGAGGGGCAAGATCGTTGATGTCTGCAGGCAGAGTAGGAGCTCTCCTGTCTGACTGGTCCACCAATAGCAGAGAAGATGACCCCTTGAGACACAGCCCCTCCTCATTTGCATAATGAGGCAGAAATGCATACAAAAATTTAAAAAAGACAGGCAGAAATAAATACCATGGCTGAAAATAAATAAGGTAAATAAATACAAAGGAAGAATAAAACAGACAAAAATATTAAACACACACATAAATAAATACATTAAAAAATTAGTAATAAATAAAGTTGAATAAACAAATAAGGTAATTATAACAAAGGTGAATAAGTAAAGGCACTAATTAAAATATATACATTTATGTCTCCTTGTATAATTTAATTACTACCTACATTTATTTATTTACTTTATTTTTTTGTGTATTTAATTGGATGCTTATTTATTTATTGAGCATTTATTTATTTCTGTATTTATTTCTGACTGTGTCAGGATCGGTCCTCCATAACGTGGTGGGAGAGTTATCAAGCACGTAAAGTTTGGTTCAGATGTGAGCATGTACACGTAAGTTACAACAACTTCCTGTGTCATGGCGAAGACTTGATCTCTGACGCCACGCCACGGACACACCCATTGACGAAAACTCGCAAATAGCACAACTTTTCATCTTCAATGCCTTTAGAAGGCACAGCACAAATTTGAAGTCGGTCGGACTAAATCCCTAGGAGGAGTTCGTTAAAGTACGAAGTGTGTAAATCATCCAAAATTTGACGTAAAATTCAAAATGGCCTACTTCCTGTTGATTTTAGGGCATCGCTCCAAGAGGCTTTTTTGTGCGTCTGGACAAGATACACGTACCACAGAAAATTCGTGCACGTAGGTAAAACGTGCGGCGGGGGCTGCTTCGTTAAAAGTCACTTCCTGTTGCCAGCAGGTGGCGCTATGACTGTCTGTGAATGTCAGCATGTACATGTGTTCAGGGCGGGACTCTCATCCTACATGTACAGTTTGGTCCAGATGTGAGCATGTACACTGAAGTTACGACAACTTCCGTGTCATGGCGAAGAGTTGATCTTTGACGCCACGCCACGGACACGCCCATTGACGAAAACTTGCAAATAGCACAACTTTTCATCTTCAATGCCTTTAGAAGGCACAGCACAAATTTGAGGTCGGTCGGACTAAATCCCTAGGAGGAGTTCGTTAAAGTACGAGGTGTGTAAATCATCCAAAATTTGACGTAAAATTCAAAATGGCCGACTTCCTGTTGGGTTTAGGCTATGGCTCCAAGAGACTTTTTTGTGCGTCTGGACAAGATACACGTACCACAGAAAATTCGTGCACGTAGGTAAAACGTGCGGCGGGGGCTGCTTCGTTAAAAGTCACTTCCTGTTGCCAGCAGGTGGCGCTATGACTGTGGGTGAATGTCAGCATGTACATGTGTTCAGGGCGGGACTCTCATCCTACATGTACAGTTTGGTCCAGATGTGAGCATGTACACTGAAGTTACGACAACTTCCGTGTCATGGCGAAGAGCTGATCTTTGACGCCACGCCACGGACACGCCCATTGACGAAAACTTGCAAATAGCACAACTTTTCATCTTCAATGCCTTTAGAAGGCACAGCACAAATTTGAGGTCGGTCGGACTAAATCCCTAGGAGGAGTTCGTTAAAGTACGAAGTGTGTAAATCATCCAAAATTTGACGTAAAATTCAAAATGGCCGACTTCCTGTTGGGTTTAGGCTATGGCTCCAAGAGACTTTTTTGTGCGTCTGGACAAGATACACGTACCACAGAAAATTCGTGCACGTAGGTGAAACGTGCGGCGGGGGCTGCTTCGTTAAAGGTCACTTTCTGTTGCCAGCAGGTGGCGCTATGACTGTGGGTGAATGTCGGCATGTACATGTGTTCAGGGCGGGACTCTCATCCTACATGTACAGTTTGGTCCGGATGTGAGCATGTACACTGAAGTTACAACAACTTCCTGTTTCATTGCGAATCATCGACGCCACGGACACGCCCATTGACGAAAACGCGCAAATAGCACAACTTTTCATCGTCAATGCCTTTAGAAGGCACAGCAGAAATTTGACGTCGATCCGACTAAATCCCTAGGAGGAGTTCGTTAAAGTACGAAGTGTGTAAATCATCCAAAAATGGCCGTAAAATTCAAAATGGCCGACTTCCTGTTGACTTTAGGCTATGGGTTCTTGAGGCTTTTTTGTGCGTCTTGATACGATACATGTCCCCAGAAAATTTCGTACATGTAGGTTGAACGTGAACGAGGGGCTAATCATTTCCAATTTTCTAGGTGGCGCTAGCGAGTCATTTTGCCACGCCCATGTGCGAAACTTGTAGAATACGAAATTTTTCACCGGTTCTGACATGTTTGCAAATTTTGGTGAGTTTTCGAGTATGTTTAGGCCATGTCATTTGGGCCTACTTTGCAGAAAAAAAATAAAAAAAAAAATCCGAGCAAATTCAATAGGGACCTCGCACGGTCGTGCTCGGGCCCTAAATATCTACAGAATGCCTAAAAGCCTTACTGCATTATATTCTGTATTATGTTTTTATTCTATTTTATTCTATATTTATTTAATTGTCACCTGCTGCCGGAATATTGTGTTTCCCTTTATATAGAAAAACACATTTCCACCATTAATTGATGCAGAAATTTTCACCAGAATGCAGGAAATTAAGTCTTTAATGCTTAAAATGTTCTGGGGGAGGACCCCCCATTTCAGGAAAATTACCCCATAAATTTACTACAATGCAAGAAAACCCTATCTGGGTTGAGACACGGTTTATGTGTGTGTGAATGGATGGACATTCCCAGATCCCAGGTTAGGTTTGGTCTCCCAAATTAGGCTGTGATGTGGAGTTTGATAAGGCTATGTGGAGGCGGATCAAACTTATGGATTATCGTTATGGACCATGATTAGTGACTTGGCTGTTCATCTGTAATGCTAAAATTGTGAGTTTGCCTGCTGAACTTTTTAAACAATTCCTGAGGATTGAGAAGCGATTACTTCAACCCCTGCAGTGGACTTTTTAGATTTCCCCAAATGTAAAAAGGGGGAACGCCAATTTCAAATCTGGCCTAGGGCTCCAACGCTGTGGGCCGGCCCTGGCCCAGAGCTAATGCTTTAAAGGTTGGCCACAATCACAATTGTGACCAAAATTCTTTAGTGTATGAAAATAATTTTAATGCCATTATTCTTTTGATTGGAGCGTTTGAGCTTCCCACCCTGAGCACAACATCAGAGGAAAATGGCCAAACAGTTGGTGTAGGAGAAATCGGCATGTACAAATAAAAATAGAGTAAAATGGTTTTTCCTCATTTAGCAGCTTTTAATTATGTTAGCGCTCCGTTCACTGGTTCCTTGTAGCTATATATTTTCAGTTCAGACTGTTGCCCCAGCAGGTCGTGGTTTAGTCACACACACAAGTCTGTTGCTACGGTTTATCTCCCTGTTCCATCCTGCACATCTGTCTGCCTGGCCCTGCTTTTCTCTTACTTCCTGGGTGAATGAACTTCCCACATGAGCCAGGACTGCAGAGTCACTGCCTCAAAACTGTTAAGAGGTTCAAAATCACACATATTGGGTTTACAATATATAAGGGTTACACTATTTTCAATTTCATATCAGCCCAAAACAGGATTCAGTTGCAAGGCAAGTCAATATTTCTTCCTCTAATGCGTGATTAGGCTTTCTGAAGCAGGTGGGTGGATAAACAAAGCAGGGGCAAAGCAGAATGGAAATGTTTAACACACAGTCAGAAGTGTTATGTGCTTCTTTGAAACAAGTGTTGTGAGAAATCTGTCAAGCTGACTAGTCCCGCTATCATCTTTTCTGTCAACGGGATGCAAATTAAATAACAGAAATCTGATGATGTAATCACAAAGGAGATGTGTTGATGAAGTTTCTGACTGACTGGGCCATTTGATTTGTAAGGGGATTTGTACAAGAGCTTTTTTGGTCCACTAAAGTAAAATCTATTGGTGTTCATTAAACAACAATTATTTTTTCTTCAGTTTTCATTGACAATATTATTTATGTGTGTTTTCAGTTATATTTTTGACTCACAATGTCATTTTACTGCCTCTTGTCAGTTTATGGGCCACAGAGCCAAAACACTAGATAATATGTGTCGTATTAAAATTTTATTATTTATAGGTCTCAAAAGTGTTTTCAGCTTGATCAGCTTTGACCGTGGCCGATCAGTTTCGCATATTGAGGGGGTTAGTCAGCGTCTCCGCTTGGCGGGCATTATCTGAGGCACATTCAGCTTTCATCCCTGTGACATCACAGGGATGAAAGGGAGGGTGGACTACAAACAAGCTGTTTTTAAGCAGTTCAGAGCAGACTTTTGGGCTGGACTGGCCTTTTCACTTTGCAAACCTGTTACATGCACAAAAAAGGTATATAACTCAATAAAGGAGAGGGAAAAAGGTATAAAGCATAATACCACCTCTTTAAGAGTTGAAGCAACACAAAAATACATTACCTTTCTGTGGTTTCAAACTGTTAACTTTATCTTCAGTTTCACTTTAAGCTATATAACACTTTGTTAAATAAGATGAAATTTTTTGTCTTGTTAGCAATTAACTTTTTTCCAAAACTGTTATGTTTCTTTCTTTTCTTAGAAAGTACTGAATGAAAATGGTAAAAGAAGGTGGAAAATATAAAATGTTGTAATTTTCGGTTTCTTTTCCCTTTTGTGTGTGTTTGCTTGCACATGCTCCAGACTATCTGTCACAAGGTGTAGATCTGAGTGGCATTGAGGTGATTGAGAATGACTTGCTGCTGATCAGCAGAGCCAGGCTGGAGGTGGAGAACCAGGCCAAGAGACTGCTGGAACAGGGCATGGAGATCCAGGTACACACACAACTCACACACTATTTGCTTTTGGTCACGCTTGATTGTCCTGGACACGTTGTGCAGCTTGAACTTTGACCTCTCTGTTGAGAAGGGACAAGCAAAGATAATTCTTTTCAGGAATTAGTAAATAATTAGTAGAATATCAGAATCAAACCAAGTCCACTTGAAAATGTACTGGTGTGTATCAGCCTCATATCCTCTACACTCACATATTCAACCACGGTTGATGCAAAGCACCACATGAATATTGATGCATATAAGATGAACCTGATTATGGTGAATAAGCACAACAACTGAGAGAAAGCACATTTTGTTTGATGCAGCGTGTTCACAAACAAAAGAAAATGCATTGAGTTTAACAGAATTATATTATTCCTAGAAAGGTAAACTATATATTGTTGGTTGTAGCACACACCTTTCTGCTCATTCCCACTGCTAACAGCTGGTTGCCACAAACCCCAGAGTGATTATAGCCTACTTGTATTTGTACTGCGATGGCACGGTTCCGTCGGGTTGGTCAGTCCCAGTTCAGCTCACAGATCCAATAGCACGGCTCTTGGGAATCTAAGTCGATGTTTTAGCCAGTCATCATCATGGACCAGGAAATCTTTGTGGTCTCTGGACTCAGTCTAATCCTTCCATTCCATTTGCGTTGTCCCCCGCAGTGCCAGTACAGCCATGCATCATAATGCACGAGTGTCTGGCAGTACTTCTATGTTTACAGCGATTATGCTGAGTGCTTCACACCTTGTAGGTCAGTGGTATCTCCCACCCTGGGATATCATTTGAAGATGGAGGCTTGACATTGAACAGTACTGTACGTCAGTTTTGTTACACTTGGCCAAATATGATCAGGACTAGGGTTGGGTATTGTTACGATACCAGTACCAAAACCAGTACCCTTAAAGTGATACCAATACCAAAAGAGTACTTCATTCATAAAATAGACTACAGCTTGGGAGTTTTTTTGTATTTGACTAAGAGAGTAGGAGTGAAATAGTTTAGTGACCAAATGAGTTGTGGGAAACGAATTTAGGTACATTATTTGAAGCCTTTGTTGAAAGTAAACAACGGAGAATTATTTTGTTAACTTTCGCTCAATAAACTGAATTGAAGTACTTTACTTACTGAAGTACTTTTTAGGGCTGGGCACGTTAACACGTTATTATCGCGTTAATTAACGCCGACGATTAATTATTTTATTGCACGTTAACGCAGTTTTTTTATGCCATCGTCCATACCAACATAGTGTTTGTGCTGCTCCCTGATAAAAGATACCTGCTGATACCTGTTCAGAAAGAAAACAAGAAAACTGGACTCTGATGGGAACTTGTTTTAACAAGCTGGATAAAGGCAATGCCCTGGCAGTGGCAAATAGCTTTGCTTTTATATTTGATTTGATTACATTAATGTTTAAAGATTTACAAGAAATACTTTATTGCTACTGTGTAAAGGGAATACTGCTGGTAAAAAGCACCTTATTTGTTTGCAAAACACATGTTTTGGCACTTTTGTGTATATAGCAGTACATTTAAATAAAAGTGTGCAATACACTGCTTTAGAATTTATTATTTAATTGTGCGCATAACAGTGTGATTAATTGTAGGAAAATCATGCGATTAATTGCGATTTAAGATTTTAATCATTGCCCAGCACCAGTGCTTTTTCCGTGGTGAGTCGCAAACCTCCAAATAGATGACAGTAAGAATTAAAGCTGCAAGCAGCG